TATGAAATATGAAACTTTATGACTTAGCCTATAAATAATGTTGCATGAGTGTTTGTTGTGCATCAAAATGCATTTGATTGTGTATCATCCAGGTACAGTGCAACACATGGTCAAAGAACAGATGACAGAGAATAACATTATGGTAGTGAATGTTATGTTTTAAAACTTAAAAGGTAACAGAAGAGCATAAAAATAAATAATTGAAATGGTAGTTGGATCTGCGCTACTACTGGAAACCTGTAGCTGTAATCATCCATGTGTTCTGGGATTTTTGGTTTCACTGTGCAAATGGAACCTTAAACCTTGTGATAAACATGAAAAAAAAAAAATGTTTTTGCAGCAGTGTATGATTGTATCATAGTTTACAACCAGACAGCAGACAATTCACAACCAGACAACATGCAGAATGTTGAAAGGGTAAGTTAAGACATGGATCATCACACCAGTATACAAGAAAATATGTCTACAGATACATTTATATAGGTTTATTTCATGGATCATCATACCAGTATACAAAAAAAATATATGTGCACAGATACGTTTATATAGGTTTATTTCATTTGTTGCAGGCAGTGATGTATTCAACAAATGATAACAACTAATAACAGTTTTAAAGCATCGCAAGCTAGAAATGAAAAGCACAAAGAACTTAAATCAATGTATAGGCTACAACTAGCTGAAGTTTGCTGTGCTTTATCCTAACATTACACAAAGAATGCCTGCAATCATTCAGTCAGGGACGACTGCACAAAACGTGCACTGTAAACATTATAAACTGTTACGAAATGATAAACAAATGTAGTTTGTGCAACACTGTAAATATATTTACCTTTTTTTTAAATATATATATTCCATTAAACCTGCTGAGATACAAGGAGTGTCAACTGAAATTCTCAGTTCCACTTGGTTCCACGCGCATGTCCGGGAAACTCATGAATATTCATGTCTGCTCCGCCCACTGAAACCGAAAATCTCGGAAACCGAAAATCTCGTAACACCGGTGTTCTGTCAGATTTTGCTACCTCCCATTAAAACAGTGGGTAGTACAATTCGACAACGAAAAATGCTACCTGTAAAATTATGGTTTATTAATGTCTACACCTAACCCAACCCTAAACCTACCCTTACAGTAATACAGATACATTAAATATTGTTGTTCAGCGTGAGAAAAAGGACGCAATATTGATGTGCACATGGGCAGTAAACCCTGCTAGGACAATCTGACGGGTAGGATAAAATGTCAGGACACCGGGAGGTTTTTGAGTTAAAATTAAGATTTTATTAAAAAAAGACTCCTCATTTAGTGTTTTTGATGAAAAATACGTAAAGACCTTAAAAGTAAATTATTATCATCATGAAAGATTAAATTTGTTGTGTTATAGTTCAGTTCATCAGAAGAGATCAGAAGCAGAGTCCAGCTGTGTGTCTATAGCCCTATTCGCACGGGATTAGTATTATCTGGGGACCTTGTGTGATTTTGAAATTAACCCCCCACCTCTGAATTTCGTGTGGTGCATTCGCACGGGATAAGCGAAGCCTGTGATTTTACTCGAATTTACCGATTTATCTACCGGATACCCGGATGTCAAGTCTTTGAGAGTCCCGTTCTATGGTCCAGATGGATAAAAAAAAAAAAGAAAAAAGAAATTAATATAGTTTCGTGCCCTGTGACATTTACATTTCACCAGGTTAAATTAGTATCTCAAGATTTATGCTTGACTTATTTGTAACACATTAACCTCAAAACACCTGCTCCAGAGTGTCCGTACTGTAGGCCCTGTCGAGCTCCTCTGTCCCTTCGGCAGCCAGATGTGACGGAACGTCTGGCGCCAGGCCCTCACTCGCTGAATCCTTGAGATCCGGTAGAGGGCTGGTTTCCATATGTACAGACCTAAGTGGATCCCATATGTGTAAAGTCCACGGTATAGCCTCAGAGCCCGTGTTTCCCCGGTAGACTTCTGCCATTTCCAAGATTACAATCACTTCTAATCTTCCATATACACCTGAACGGTTGTTCATATGTGTAACTGTTTCCGAAACCTTTGGTAGAGGTCTGGGTTCCATATGTAGGGACCTAAATGGATCCCATATGTGTAAAGTTCACGGTATAGTCTCAGAGCCCGTGTTTCCCTGGCAGACCTCTGCCATTTCCAAGAGGGTTACAATCACCTCTAATCTTCCATATGCACCTAAACGGTTGTTCATATGTGTAACTGCTTCCGAAACCTCCTTCGGGAAGGATGGGGCTTCCGCGACGTTCCTGTTCCAAGTGGAACGGGTACGTTTTCCCAGAGTTAATAAGTCTTACTGAGTGGGTAGTGCTATGACAACAGTGACTGTCCTTCTTGTTGCGAGCCCCGGCCTACACCAAAAAGGGGCCCGGGCGGCTCGCACAGAACAATGGAAGGGGCAGCATCCATGGCGCTTTGGTATGGATTCCCAATTCGTTGGTCACCGACGTGACGTAGAGAGTGACCGACTGAAAGTGAACGAGGGTTACATACGTAACGTAATACGTTTTGAGGGCTTAGCTAATCAGGCCAATTAGAGACGATTACTCATTTTCATTTTTTATGAAATCATTCTTTAATTTCACGAATCAATCTTTTTTTTGTGTGTGTGTAATTAAACACAAAGGGTCATTAATGATGCTTACATTATAACGTACAAATTCACACACAACATCTTTAATTTGGCAGGAATTTTAATGTGCCTGTCTTTAGAGAAAATATGAAATAAGTTTTTAATGTTATTTTAGATTATAAAGGGTTTTATAATTAAATGCATCTGAAAGGTAATCTAAGATTACCATTATAATATTTGTCACAGAAATACTCTGTTATACGTTCAAATCGTTTTTTTAAACTTTGGTCATGTTTAGCATGAGAATCCAACTCTTTCAGATGAAGACATGATCCTCAAACTGGGGAAAGTGGCTTTTCAGCAGCTTGTGAAAGGCAACCTGATCTTCTATGAGGAAGACCTGAGAGAGTGTGGCATTGATGTGACAGAAGCATCAGTGTACTCAGGATTGTGCACTCAGATCTTCAGAGAGGAGTTTGGCTTGTATCAGGGGAAAGTCTTCTGCTTTGTTCATCTGAGCATTCAGGAACATCTAGCAGCGCTATATGTGCACCTCTCCTGTACAAACCACAACAGAAATGTGCTTGACCACAGTTTGTGGTCTAAAGTGAAGGATTGGTTTCAACTCAATTCATCAGAACATGTTTCATTATCTGAGCTACATCAGAGAGCTGTGGATGAGGCTCTACTGAGTAAAAATGGACTTCTGGATCTTTTCCTGCGATTCCTTCTGGGTTTGTCAGTAAAGTCTCATCAGATTCTTCTACAACAAATAATGACACTGAAAAGAAGCAGCTCTGACAGCAATGAGAAAACAGTTGAGTACATCAAGAAGAATATCAGGACCATCGACTCTCCAGAGAAATCCATCAATCTGTTCCACTGTCTGAATGAACTGGGTGATCGTTCACTAGTGGAGGAAATACAACAGTATCTGACATCTGGAAGACTAAAGGAAACCAAATTCTCTTCATCTCAGTGGTCAGCTGTAGTTTTTGTGTTGTTGACATCAGAAGAGGAACTGAATAAGTTTCGTCTTGATAAATTTGTTAAAGGAATGAATAAACATGAAAATATGGAAGTTCTTCAGAAGCTGCTGCCTGTGATTAAAGAATCCAGATCAGTTCAGTAAGTATCACATCATAAAGATTTAACCTGAATATTCAGATACTAATGTGTGATTTAATGATTTCCGTTCAGTTTATAAGCTGCCAAACATGACACAATGATGTGTTTGATCACAAGAGATAATAAATGAGATGTAATGGGGAACACGTGGCTCCTGTGAAGCAAATGTCCTCCTGTAGGTGTTTATTAGAGGAGCAAGTAACTGTTTTCCAGACAGATCCGTCCTTATCAAAGACTATAGAATACCCAAGACGTGTCACTCGTATAGTTTTGAATGGGGAAAAATGCAACGCTCAATATGGCCGCTCTATCGAACGAAGCCCCGCCTTCTGAGTAAAAGAGCCAATCACTAATCAGTAAAGTCTGCAGTTGCGGTCAGAAGTCCTGGTTGCTATAGAAACAGTCAGCGTTCTGAGACGTGAGCTCAGGACTGCACATGCGCACTGGCCGGTCTAGCCTGAGAAATAAGCTTTTTTAATGCTATTAGAGCAAAACAAACAACAGTTATGATACAGTTGTTGTCAGATTTCATTGATGATTTCAAATATGAAATTTAATCATAAGTTTGGTCACCAGTTTTGGAGAATTTGATGTTCCCCATTTAAAGAGATAGGAGCTGCACTTGCATGTCCGAGAGGCGTTTCAAAGATGGCCGCCGAGTGACATGACTTGCCTTAAAGGGTCTTTGTCTTTATATCACTATGAAACAATATCTCACATTCAGCTCTGTGTGTCTGTTCAGTCCTGAAGCACATGACAGTTTCAAACAGCACCATTGAGCATCAACATGCGTAAATCTCATTCTATCAACAGCAGTTTGTGGCAATGCTTGTCATTATATCTCCTCTCCTGCTCTGAGACCAGAGTCAATAATAAACTACAGACACTTCAACTACAATTCACATTCTGTCATTGTTCTCTACAGGTTGAGTGATTGTGGCGTCACAGATGAAGGTTGTGCTGCTCTGGCTTCAGCTCTGAGATCAAACCCCTCACACCTAAGAGAACTGAATCTGTCTCTGAATAAACTAGGAGATTTGGGTGTGAAGCGTCTCTGTGATGGACTGAAGGATCCTGACTGTAAACTGGAGAAACTCTGGTAAGATTATATATGACACACTGTAAAATATTTGTGAAGTGAAAAACAAATCACCCAAAAAAGTCTGAAAACACAATAAGTCAGACAAAATGTAAATATTAGGTATTGTTTGTGAATGGAATACTTACTACTGATTGGATGAGACAACTGTTAATCAAGAGACAGAGATACAGAAAGTAAAACATTGTGTGACTTTGTTTCTTGTTCATGTGTGGACTTCTGTGTTCATGTTAAATCTGTTTCTTCATTAGCAAACCCTTTAAATGTAATGTCTGTTTACACTAAGTGCTAATAGCCCATCTTGTTAGCAAAGGCTTGACTGTTATCAGACAAAATTACTAAAGAAACCAATCAGATAAGTGGGAGAGTAAGGACAGTGGGCTTTTGAGGCGACCAACCCGAGTACATATCTGCATTTCTTCTCATTTATTGCATTGTATATGAGCTCAGAGAGCTGTTTATATGAAAGAAAACATAAGAAAATATTCAAAACATGGAAATAAAATGTCTAACATGTATATAATTAAAATTATATGTGGTGTCCTCACGGTGATCAGATGTTCTGGTGAATCAACCACATGCAGCTCATATTGTTCCCAAACTCAAAAGCATCAGTCTCTTCCTGCAGCTTAAAGAACAGCTTTACTGATCAGCAGCTTCAGTGTGATTAGGAGCAGGTGTAGGGGGGGCTTTAGGAATAGACACAAGGAAGGACACTATAAGACAGCATCTGTTTATAATGAATATAATCATATAAAGAATATGTTATTACGTACTGTTTTGTAAAGCACTGCAATACATTGAGGTGTAAGTACTATCTGCAACAATTTACATAAACTATAAATAATATCTCACAGTGTGGGTGATCTCAGGTTTTGCTATCCTTAAGTGATGGAGGAGAAACACACACACACACACCACTACTCCATACATATTAATACAGATTAAAATAACAGCATAAAACTCAGATGTGTAATGAATAGTGTCATTAAACAGATCTGAATGAATGTCTACATAAGACAGATAATTTGGTTAAAAATACTGACAGTGCAATACAGAAATATTTATTTTTCTTGAATGAGGCTTTAAATGATTTATGATCATGTTTTTTTTTGTTCTTTGACATTTTAGATCTCAGTCCAATGATGCATCACACATTGATTTGTACTAGAGGTCTGCGCAGGACTATTTTTTTACTCTTTGTTCACCCGCTATCCGCTTAGAATAATTTTGTTCCAGACAGTGTTGCCAGATTGGGCGGGTTCCCGCTCAATTGGGCTTCTTTTGGTAACGTCAGACCGGAAAAAAATGCGTTGGGCGGGTTGATAAAATTTGGGCTGCTTTTTGATACAACTGGCGAGTCTTACCATTTAAAACTGTGAGACCGCTGTCTGTGAGCTCACACCCAAAGTGCGCACACATAGAGCCGCATCTGTGAGCGCGCGACTAAGTTGTGTTGTGCCTTATTGCGCGTAAACGGCCAAATACATACAAAATTATGTCAAAATGACCATCTTGATAAGTATTCAGTAAGTATTCAGTAATAAGTATAAACATTGTCGGCTATAGGCTATTAAGTGTATGTAATCAGTTGAGAAACAAAACTTATCTGTAACATATAGATCCGTGCATGAGGTCTTAAAGAGACAGCCACCTAAATAAACCTGCTGCTGTCTGTAACTAATGTTTATTTATACATTAAAGATTAACCAGTGTTATTTTAAAGTTAAATAGATTATTCCGTTTCTGTTGTATTTCTGTACCTGAATATTACAGTTATACTGTAAAAATGAATGGCTACTGGTAGCTCTTCTTCCTGGTTGTTAATTTGCCGGTTGATAACAAACCCACTACGGAGCGTCCGTTTAGACACTTTACCACAGATGATCAGGTATGCGGGAATAACCCATTTATTGTCACCACAAACTCAGTACACTGAAGAAATGTAGTTTTTCATGTTTGTGTGGTTTTCTACAAATTAAAGATAAAAGAAAAATATATACGTACAAATAACTTTGGTCACAATAAATATAATAACAACACAATATTTGCACAAAGAATATATTAAATACAGTGATTAAACATTCAAATAAGAAAACAAATGTGCCATTATAAGGGAAGATGCGCTGCTAGAAATTACTAATAATGAGCAGTTGAAATCTGACACCTCTCAGTGCTGAGGACAGAGATGGAGCCGCTCTGTCTAGAACATTAGTGCGCATGCGCCAAAAGAGTGCTTTAACTCTCAGAAATGAGCGATACATATTATATATATTAAATAAACCATATGATGATTAAATGGCAGATAGATTATATCTTCTAAACATAACGGTAATATATGTGAGGAAACTAGTATGTAAATACACACGAACATCTTCCACGCTAGTTCGTCTTTGTCACCCGCATACATGAACTTATAAACACTGAGCAGTTAAACGTTCACAAACAATGCAGAAAGCAATGGATGAACCGACAGTTACTTTATAGGCACGCACACAACTTTAGCAAAGATAAATCGCTACAGTACTGCTAGCATCCGTCCGCTTTCCCGATCGTTCTAACTCAGTTCAGTGGGCGGGACCGCCGACCTGCGCATCCTGCCCGGAGCGCTGATTGGCTCACGGGATGGATGCTGCGTCTGAGTCGACTGTAGTGTATTGCAAGGGAAACTAAGACACATGCTGACACCTGTGTGTGGCCTTTTTTACATATACCTACCTGAAAAACTTAAAGCACGGTTCATTTTATTTGTATCTTGTTATTGTATTTGTTTGTGCCATTGCTTGTCATTTATTTATTCTTATTTTATTACTGACTGTTTACTTGTCTTTTTTAGTTATCAGAATCAGAATCAGCTTTATCCGCCAGGTGTGCGCAAACACACTAGGAATTTGTTGTGGTTTTTCTTTTTTTTTATCAGGTGCTCCTGGTATATACACACATACATACATACATACACATCTGACATGAGAAAGGCACTGTACATACATACATATATGACATGAGAACAGAAAGAATAATTAAATAAGTAAGACTGATAATAATAATATTAATAATGTGGTAAAATCTGGTACAGATTTGTACATTATTTACTGTACAGTTGTATAAATAAAATATGCATATGTATTTACATAATACTTGAAAGACAGGCAATTGCTGGAAATGGAAAGAGGAATTACAGAAAACAGGTAATAATTTCTGTGTTAGCTGTTTAAGATGGAGATGGCATGGGGGGAAAAAATCTGTTTTTATGCCTATATGTTCTAGTGCACAGAGATCTGTAGCGTCTGCCTGAGGGGAGAAGTGCAAACAGGTTGTGTCCGGGTGAGAGGGGTCTTTGATGTTACCTGCCCGTTTCTTCACTCTGGATTTGTACAAGTCCTTAAGACTGGGCAGATGCTCACCAATGATCCGTTCTGCTGTCCTAACAGTCCGTTGCAGTCTTCTTAAATCTGATTTGCTGGCTGACTCAAACCAGACAGTTATAGAAGAGCACAGAACCGACTCAATAATAGCTGAGTAAAACTGTGTCATCTGTGCCTGTAGCAGGTTGAACTTTTTCAGCTGACGAAGGAAGTACAACCTCTGCTGGGCCTTTTTCACAACGGAGTCAATGTGAATGTCCCACTTCAGGTCCTGAGAGATGGTTGTGCCCAGGAACCTGAATGACTCCACTGCAGCCACAGTGCTGTCCATGATGGTGAGTGGGGGGAGAGCAGGGGGGTTCCTCCTGAAGTCTACGATCATCTCCACTGTTTTGAGTGTGTTGAGCTCCAGGTTGTTAAGACTGCACCAGACAGCCAGCTCTTTAACCTTCTGTCTGTAAGCAGACTCGTCTCAGTCCTTGATGCGGCCGATGACTGTAGTGCCGTCCGCAAACTTCAGGAGCTTGACAGAGGGGTCTTTAGGGGTGCAGTCGTTGGTGTACAGGGAGAAGAGCAGTGGGGAGAGGACGCAACCCTGAGGAGTGCCAGTGCTGATGGTGCGGCTGTTGGATGTGAATTTACCAATTCTCACTAGCTGTTGCCCATCTGTCAGAAAACTGGTGATCCATTGACATATATAGCTAGGAACAGAGAGCTGGGTTAGTTTGGTCTGGAGGAATGTTGGGATGATGGCGTTGAAGGCCGAACTGAAGTCATCAAACAGGATCCTCACATAAGTCCCTGTTTTGTCCAGATGTTGCAATATGAGGTGCAGTCCCATGTTGACTACAGACCTATTTGCTCGGTAAGCAAACTGCAAGGGGTCCAGTAAGGATCCAGTGATGTTCTTCAGATAAGCCAAAACCAGTTTTTCAAATGCCTTCATGACCACAGACGTTAAAGCATCAGGTCTGTAGTCATTAAGTCCAGTAATTTTGGGTTTCTTTGGGACGGGGATGATGGTGGAGCGTTTGAAGCAGG